ACAATATTGATTTTTCTATCCATGAGGATGGAATGTTTTTGCTTTTGTTTGCACTCTCTATTATTTCCTTGGGAATTGGTGTATAGTTCTCTGCAAAGAGGTCTTTCACATCCCTTGTTAGCTGTATTCCTAGGGAAATACCTAAGGCTTTTAATTTTTTTTCTTCTTTTAAATTTTCATAAAAAGGAAAATTTTAAATATGTCAAAATATATATAAAAGAATTATGAAGTAACAAAATAAGACTCCATTCTTGGATCTAGTGCTGACATGAACTGTTAGCACTGTTTGTAAGTTACTTTTAGTCATTTTTAGTTGTAGATTCTTTTGAGTTTTCTATATTTTCTATATAGTTTTTGGTACCAGCTGGACTGCCTTCAAGTTACTTAATCTGTCTGTATAAAATGGGGGTCAGTTTGGTGAGAAAAAAAATCTCTTCATAAAATTTCCTTAACAAAGTACCAGTAGTACAGTAGAGGAATTGTCTTTGCCCTTAAGAAACATTTTTTAAAACTTGAAATGTCAAGGTCAGACTTTCTCCTGTGCAAATTTTTTTCTTTTAATTGTTTTCCTGTAAAGTGAAAAATAGAACCCATGTCCTAGTGTCCTAGATCTTTATGCTCCCCCTCTCCATCTTTCATGATTTAGTTTCTTGCATACTCATCAACCTCTGTCCTCCCACTTTCTCCTGTTCCCGTAAGACTGTAAAATCTTTCCTCTAGTAAAACTTAACAGTTCTTAAAACACTTAATACCTTTGTAAATTTTTTTTGCTATCTAAAGTTTCTGTTTCACTTTTTTCCTTTTTTTTTTTTTTGAGACAATGTATTATTTTGTTTTAACACTGCTGATAAGACATACCTGAAACTGGAAACAAAAAGGGTTTAATTGGACTCACAGTTCCACATGGCTGGGGAGGCCTCAGAATCATGGCAGGAGGTGAAAGGCAATTAATACATGACAGCAGCAAGAAAAAATGAGAAAGATAAAAAAGTGGAGGAGAGAGATCCAAGATGGCTGATCACTAGCAGCTCGGGATTGTAGCTCCCAGTGAAAGGACAGAGAATGAGAGGACGCCACACTTTCAGTTGAATTTTTGTTGCTCACGCACCAGGAGATTCCCAGCGGAGGAGTCCCACGGGTCGCCAGTGTGACTCTTGTGGCCGGTGAGGTGGTTTTACCGCTCCCTTGGTGGGGTGGTTCTTAGTGCAGAGTCAGAAAAGCACTATCAATCATAACGCCGCTGTTTTGGACGACGCAGTGGGTTGCTCAGATTTTAGCGCTGGGAATCAACAAGTTGGACGTCCACTCAGAAACCCAATTATAAAGACGGTAATTATAAAGACCACAGATGGATAAATACATAAAGAAGGGAAGAAAACAGCCTAAAAAGGCTGAGAATACCCAAAATCAGAACGCCTCTCCCTCTACAGGGGATCACAGTTCCTCATCAACAATGGAACAAGGCCTGATGGAGAACGAGTGTGTTACATTAACAGAAGCAGGCTTCAAAAGGTGGATGATAAGAAACTTCTGTGAATTAAAAGAACTTGTTCTAACCCAATGCAAAGAAACTAAGAACTTTGAAAAAAGGTTTGATGAAATGTTAACAAAAATACACAATTTAAAGAGGAATATAAATGAATTAATGGAGCTGAAAAACACAACACGAGAACTTTGCAAACTATGCACAAGTTTTAACAGCCAAATCAATCAAGCAGAAGAAAAGATATCAGAAGTCGAAGACCAACTTAATGAAATAAAAAAAGATGACAAGATTAGAGAAAAAAGGATAAAAAGGAACGGGCAAAGTCTCCAAGAAATGTGGGACTTATGTGAAAAGACCTAATCTACACTTGATAGGTGTAACCTGAATGTGATGAAGAGAATCCAAGCTGGAAAATACGCTTCAGGATATTATTCAGGAAAACTTTCCCAACCTAGCAAGGCAGCACAATATTCAACTCCAGGTAATACAGAGAACACCACAAAGATATTCCTCAAGAAGACCAACCTCAAGGCACATAATTGCCAGATTCACCAGGGTTGAAATGAAGGAGAAAATACTGAGGGCAGCCAGAGAGAAAGGTCGGGTTACCCATAAAGGGAAGCCCATCAGACTCACAGCAGATCTCTCAGCAGAAACCTTACAAGCTAGAAGAGAGCGGGGGCCAATATTCAACATCCTTAAAGAAAAGAACTTTCAACCCAGAATTTTACATCCAGCCAAACTAAGCTTCATAAGCGAAGGAAAAATAAAAACTTTTGTGAACAAGCAAGCACTCAGAGATTTCATCACCACCAGGCCTGCTTTACAAGAGCTTCTGAAAGAACTACTACACATAGAAAGGAACAACCAGTATCAGCCTTTCTAAAAAATACCAAAAAGTAAAGAGCATCAACATAATCAAGAATTTACATCAACTAATAAGCAAAACAGCCAGCTAACATTAAATGGTAGCATTAAACTCACATATATTATTATTAATTCTAAATTTAAATCGACTAAATCCCCCAATTCAAAGGCACAGACAGGCAAAAAAAGCCAAAACCCATCGGTATGCTGCATCCAGACCCATCTCACATGCAAAGATACACAAAGACTCAAAACAAAGGGATGGAGAAAGATTTACCAACCAAATGGAGAGTAAAAATAAATAAATAAATAAATGAAAAGCAGGAGTTGCTTTAAAGCAACAAAGATCAAAAGGAGCAAAGAAGGATATTACATAATGATAAAAGGATCAATGCAACAAGAAGAGCTAAAGATCCTAAATATATGCGCACCCAATACAGGAATACTCAGATATATAAGACTTATAAAGAGACTTAGACTCCCACACAATAATAGTGGGAAACTTCAACATCAATATTAGACAAATCAATGAGACAGAAAATTAACAATGATATCCAGGATTTGAACTCAGATCTGGAACAAGTAAACTTAATTAACATTTATAGAACTCTCCACTTTAAATACACAAAATATACACTCTTATCAGTACCACATCACATCTATTTACAGGTTTAAATGAAATGTTGGTTGGCTGCTTGTTTGTTATTTTCTTCCCTCATTTTTTTTTCATGGCTCTATTATTAAGCACAATTATAGGCATACCCATTTTTAGACTGCATTCTAGCCCGGGCAATAAAGCAACACCCCCATTCTCTCTCCCTCTTCCTCTTCCTCTTTCTTCCTCTCCTTCATTCTTTTTTTTTTTTTACTCTTTCTTTTTTCTTTCTTTTTTTCTTCTTTTTTTTTTTTTTAGAAAAAAACAAACAAAAAAAACAACAGTGGAAACCCCTGATAAAACCATAAGATCTAGTGAGACTTTTTCACTGTCATGAGATTAGCCCTGTAAAGACTGTCCTCCCACAATATGTGCGAACTCTGGGAGATTTGGTTGGGGACAAAGCCAAACCATATCAGACAGCTAATTTTTTTTTTTTTTTTTGAGATGGAGTCTTGCTCTGTTGCCCAGGCTTGAGTGTAGTAGTGCAGTGTTGGCTCACTGCAACCTTTGCCTACTGGGTTCAAGGGATTCTCCTGCCTTAGCCTCTTCATTAGTTGGGATTACAGGTGCACACACCATGCCTGGCTAATTTGTTTTGTATTTTACTCGAGACAGGGTTTCACTATGTTGGCCAGTCTGGTCTCGAACTCCTGACCTCAAGTGATCTGTCCACCTTAGCCTCCCAAAGTGCTGGGATTACAGGCGTGAGCCCACACACCCTGGCTTTTAAAAAAATTTTTTAGTAGAGACGAGGTCACACTATGGTCTCTTGGCTGGTGTCAAACTGTTGAGTTCAAGTAATCCTTTTGTCTTGGTCACCCAAAGTGCTGTTACAGGTGTGAGCCACCATACCCCTGTGCACTTTTTGAAAAATAGTAACCATTATTCAAAGTTTAGCATAAATTATTAAAATAACTACTATTTAACAGCTACTACTTTTTCCTTTGTTACAATTTCATGGGTTGAAGATTTGTTTTCACTGTGGATCTCAGCAATCTCAGCCTCCCAAAGTGCTGTGATTACAGGTGTGAGCCACCCTACTCCCTGTTAACTTTTTGAAAAACACTAACCATTATTCAAAGTTTAGCATAAATTGTTAAAGTAGCTACTATTTAATAGTGCTTTTCATGTCTGAGATGTTCCAAGCACTTTTCCCATGTATTAAATCCCTTAATTCTCAAAATAAACCTAAGAAGTAAATACTTTAATTATCTTTCTTTTTTTTTTTTTTTTTTTCTTTTCACTACAGGGATTTAAGGCATGAATAGTTTGAATAACTTGCCCAAGGTCACACAGCTAGGATGTAGACCTCAGCCAAATTTGTAGTCCCCCATAACTTGTGCTTTTACCAACTACAACTTTTTAATAAAATTAACTTTGCAAAACCTCCTTTGGCTCCACAGACCAAGTAGATTATACCATGCTGTTGCCAGTCCCACTAAACTTTTTTATATACCCTTTAAATACATTACAGTAGTCTCCCCTTAACAATGGTTTTGTTTTCTGCAGTTCCAGTTATCTCTGGTCAATCGTGGCTGGAAAATATTAAATGGAAAAATCCAGAAATAAATGATTCTTGTTTCAAATTGCACACTGTTCTGAGTAGCGTGATAAAACCCCACACTGTTCCCCACTTTTGAATCATCCTTTTGTCTAGCCATCCGTGCTGTCTGTACTTCCCACCCATTAGCCACTTAGTAGCCATCTTGTTATCAGATCTGCTATCTTGGTATAGCAGCGCTTGTGATCAGGTAACCCTTATTTTACTTAATAGTGGCACCAAAGCACAGAGTAGTGATGTTGGGAATTTTCCTATGTCAAGAATAAGCCTTAAAGTGCTTCCTGTAAGTGAAAACGTGAACTTTCTCAACTTAATAAGGAAAGGAGAAAAAAATCATATGCTGAGATTGCTGAGATCTGTGGTGAAAGCTAATCTTCAATCTGTGAAATTGTAATGAAGGAAAAGAAACTCATGCTAATTTTGCTATCATCTCAATTCAAACTGCAAAAGTTATGGCTGCAGTGCATGTTAACTTCTATTATAGTATGTTGTTCTAATTGTTCTTTTATATTAGTTATTGTTAATCTCTTACTGTGCCTAATTTATAAACTAAGCTTTATCATACATATGTATAGGAGAAAACATAGTCAATGTAGGATTTGGTATTGTTTTTGGTTTCAGGCCTCTGCGGGAAGGTCTTGAGATGTATCCCCAGCAGATAAGGGAAGACTGATGTATTGTGATATTTTTCTCTCTATATTATGGCCTGTCAGAGTCTGTTTCCCAATGTCTTTGTTTCAGACCTTTGAATTTTCTGTATTTAATCATAAAGGTTTCTTGGATTAATGAGTATAGTAGACCCCTTTCATCCTCAGGAGATGTGTTTTAAGATCTCCGGTGGATGCCTGAAACCGCAGATAGTATATAACCCTGTATAGACCTATACCATGTTTTTTCCTATACATACCAATCTATGATAAAGTTTAATTAATAAATTAGGCACAGTAAGGAATTAACAGCAATAATTAATAACAAAATAGAACAATTATGGCAATTTATTGAAATAAAAATTACATGAATGCTCACTCTCAAAATATCTTAGTATTTTCAGACTGTGATTGATTGAGGGTAACTGAGCCACAGAAAGCAAAACTGTAGATTAAGGGAAGCTACTATAAGTTAATGAATATAAGAAACACCAAGAAGAAACAGGATATGAGTAAACACCTGCTATGAAAGATAAAAATAAATAGTTGTAATGATAGCAATTACCATTTAGGGTAAAAGGTAAAAGAAAAAGCCATGATAGTTGATCTACAGTTAGAATGAAATTGTATTTATTGCTCTGAATAGAAAGCATAGGTCTCTTTTTACTTGCATGCCTGATACAACAGAGAAAGGTAGAAAGACTCCTTTCTACAACTTATTTTCTGTTTTTGCAAATGCAGATAAAACTGATAAGTTTCATCCTGTGACAAGAAATTTCTAATATATTTGAAGAATTACAATCTCTTTGGCTAGCATCTACCTTCTTTATGGCCTTTTATACTTTTTTGACTTTTTGTCCACTATATTGTTTGCTTTGTGGCAGATTTTTTCAGGACAGCTGCAGCACTCACTTCTGTACATTTTCTCCATTTGAGTGTCCCAGATCCTACATTATGTCACTTCTCTACTCAAAACCTTCCATTGGCTTCCATGTCACATAAAGGAAGAGTAATTACTTGGGAAGTCCTACATGGTATGGCCTCGTGATTCATTTCTGACCTCATCATTCACTGTTCACACACCGCCCTGAGTGCTCCTCCCCAGCTGTCCCTATGCCTCACTTTTCACCTCCTTCTGCTTTGTCCTCAGAAGTTATTTCCTGAAAAGCCTACTCTTACCTCCATATTTAAAATACCATGGTATTTCCCATTAATCCTATTTTAATGTTCTCAGTAGTACTTATCACCTAATATACTATATCAGGTAATGATTTGCTATTCTTATATTTCTTACCCACAGAATAGAATCCCCATAAAAGCAGAGATTGCTATGCATTTATTTGTTTATATTCCTAGGAACCCAAAACCTGTAACAGTGTCAGGCACAGTAGACTTTCAAATATTTGATGAGTGAATGAAGAAACAGTAAATTCAAGATCTCATTTCCTTTAAAGAAAATATAACTCATTGAAAATGCCTATATTAAAATATGCCTTGGGAAGAACTGTGAGAAAGATGCAAACATTAGATAATGAATTGGGGCAGGGCCACACCTGCACATTAACCCTTCTTCTATTACCTGAGTGCTACTACTTTGCAAAATCAGTTTTTATCTCAGAGACATTAGCAGAAAACAGCCACACTCTCCCCCATGACGTACATAGCCCGCACAATCTGGCCTCAGCCACTTTACTATCTCATCTGATTCCACAGGAAGGAATGATATAATTTTTCATGGCTCATTTTGTTTCCTAAGATTATACATATGTACAGATGTAGGTGAGGACTTTAATCCTAAAAACGTCGTTCTTTTCAGATTGAATTGTAGTTTTCGACCGAATGAAATACAAAACATCTTTACAAGATATACTGGAAGTGAAGTGATAGTTCACACAGTCTAGTCAACTGGCATTTTGATTGATGATTTGGGGAGCCTAAGAAGCAGTGGCAACTGGAGAGAAATATATTTAGTATAATTTAATAATAACCTGATTTGCATGTTTTTGTCTGTTGGAATAATTACATAGATTTACCTCTTATATCTTTTATACCGTTTTATGTTTATTTTTTCAGATTACAGTACAATCTGTCAAATGTTTATGTGTTGAAAAGGCCACTTACTGATAGAATATGGGAAATACAGGTATACATGTTTTTTATGTATTTGTTGATGCCATGTTAATGGATAGCTTTCCTTGGAAAGTTGGGGTAGACATAGATTTCATTTATAATATATAATAATATACCAAATCATGACTATATAACTTAAAACAAAATATTTTTATAAATATATGTGTGTTTACAATGTGTTTTAAAATATGCTATTAAGTGGATTAGTAGGCTTATGTTACTCTTTTTTATATATATTGTGGCATATGTATAGTGGATCGAAAATGATATTAGATGAAATGACAAAAGTTTTCCTAAGAGTAAAACTATAGTTCCGTAAGTAGATTGATTTTATGATCACAGCGTTTTCTTTTCCAGTTTTTCATTGTTCAGTTTTTATACCTTGGCAAGCTAATCTTTAGTGTCAGCCAAAATTTCACTTGGATATTTATTGTAAATTACCCTAATTGATGAGTGAAAAAGCTTAGATATCTGCCTAATCTTAGTTGGATGAAATAACTGATTTCCTTCTAATTCATTTTTACTCCATAAAATGATATGTTAATAAATGAGGAAAATCAATCATTATCTAGCAAAGGGCAGTTATTCCTGCTCAGAATTAAATAAAAGCAGAATGGAGAAAATTCATAGCATTTTTTTAACTGTTGACTATCACTATATATGTTATTTTAATGAATGACAGTAAGTCTTATAAAAGTTATAAAACATTTATGGGATCCATTTCAGAGGGTATATAATTTTTTAATAACTACTAGGAGAATTTCTAAGTACTTTTAACTTGCCTATATGTGCTGTTGTTATCAGTTAATTAATTTTCAGACAGATAACAAAGATGTCAGTAAAATTCCCAGTAGTAACAATGGTGTACTGATGGTATTTATTTGTTCTTTTTTTTTTTTTTTTTCCAATAAACTCCATATACGGAAATGTAGCTCAATATGAGGCAGAAGGTGGGACTCAATAATAGAGACAGGGAGGGACACTGGACCAAATTGAGGACTAGCTAAAGCAAGAAAGGGGCAGAAACAGCTTTCCATAAGACATGTCCACCAGTGTACCGTATCAGTTTATCATTGGCATGATGAGTTACTGTAAGTTACACCCAAGTTACTGCCGCTTTCCATGAGAAAGACCCAACAACCCAGGAATTATTACCCGTTCTCTAGAAGTTTCTGTGTAATCTGCCCCTTAATTTGCATGTAATTAAAAGTGGGTATAAATATGACTGCAGAACTGCTATTTAGCTGCTATTCTAGGTGCACTGCTTATGGCGTAGCCCTGCTCTGCAAGGAGCAGTACTTCTGCTTCTGTTATACATTGCTGCTTCAATAGAGGCTCCTACCATTGTCGTGCCTTTGATTTCTTTCCTGGACAAAGTCAAGAACTGTCCTGAGCTAAGCCCCAATTTGGAGGCTTGCCTGCCCTGCATCAAATACTGTATTTAATTTATGAGTGATATTTGTTTTTATATCTATGGAATCAACTCTGTAGAATTCCTTTAGCAATATTTTTTATCGGAAACATGATTAAAACTGTTATTATAACTACTGAACAATTTCTGTATTATACAAAGCAAGATATTTGGATTAAATGGTAATAAGCTATAGCAGAATTTTTGCATCTGGCTTTTGGGAAAACTTATTCTTTGTAAAAATAAAAATTATTATACATGAATGCATTCTCATTATAAAAGACTCAAACACAAGACAGAGCAAAATATGAATGTTTACCTTCATGCCCCCCTTAGACCCATGTCCCTTAGAGATAAAAATTGTTAATAGTTTAGTATGCATTATTCCAGTACAAAATTTCGACCATTTTCAGACATGTACATCTTGATGTTAATACATTTAAAGATGGAATCGTAGTATATATCCTTTTAACTTGGGTTGGAGGAGGTCAACATACTTTGGAAATAAAGAGATTTGCTTTTACAACTGATGGTCACTCTTTAGTATATAGACAAATCTACCCAGCCAGCTACCACTGCTAGTACCTCATAAGAATGGGAAACATGATCATGAGAGTATAAAATAATTGTGTTAAGTCAGTTCATTCATCAACAAGCCACAAATATAGCTTTCGAAATAGGAACCCTTTTATCTTATGGTTATTTGCCAGGTTTGCCCACAGGCCTTGTGTATGTGTGTGATCATTACTACAGCATGACTCCATATTGCATTCTCATATTAGCCTTTAAATACTTACTGGAATACTTTAGCTTTTATTTCATTGATTCAGAGCTCTTTTTTTGTCCTATTCTTTCTTTCATTTGATCTTTTTTGCCCTTTTTACTTTCTTCTATCTGTGAGCTTAACATTTTGGAGTATGTTTGATGGTGATAAGTTTAGCTCAGGGTTTCCCATCCTTGGCAATCTTGACATTTTGGAAAAGATAACTCTTTGTTGTCAGGGGAGAGGTCCTTGCTTTGTAGCATGTTAAGCAACATCCCTGACATCTACTGACTAGATGCCAGCACAGTGCCCCTAGTTGTGATAATGAAAAATATCTCCAGATGTTTTCAAATGTCCCTGGGAGGTAAAAGCGCTCCTAGTTACTGCCAAATGTCCCCTGGGAGGACCATCCCAGCTGATGCCAAATGTCTCCTAAGGAGCAGCACCATGCTGGTAGAGAACCATGGTTTATTAGCATTTCTAAACTTACATGGTATTTTCTGGACATATTTTTTAAGGAAAGGTAGCTATCCCTGAACCAATTCATAACATGTTTTGAAGTATAATTAACATCAAAAATACTGCAGTAGTGAATCTTCACTCCTTATATATACAATTGACTTTAACTTTCTTGGCAATAGATATGTATTTGGTGCATCTTTACATGGAAATAATATTCACTGATGAAATAGTCCTCTCCAACTTGAAAGAAATATTTTCACCTGTCTCTGTGAGTATCAGTCACCTGGTATCAGACCTTCCTTCCTGTGTCTAGACAGAAGTTCATACAGCACTTTGACTCTTGGTATTTTTTAAAATGTATGCATTTGGCATACAGCAATGTAGTGCAACATATAAACTTGTTTTCTGAGAAGCATGTTTTGTTTAAAAAAACACAGACTTTCAAAATAGATGCTGCATCATAAAATCTAAATATATGTGGATTTTCTACACATAATCCCTCAACACTCATCTTCTAATATGTGAATATGGGCAATCTTCAATTTAAATGGAAATAACATAAGCAAAAATTTTAATATTTTGCCTAAAATTTGCAAAATTCAGTAATGTTTTAATAATAAAAACCTTATCTATGTACTGTCTAGGATATATGTTCAGACATGTTGATCTTTGAAGTTAAAAATTTTTGTACTCTTCCCCTCCAGAAAAAAAAAATAAAAACCTACAAAAAGAAAAGACACAACTGTCCTTCACAATGAAATTTAGACTACTTCAAAAAAAATAGTTTCCTGTATTTCTAGACTTAATGGTCTTATTTCTGCCCTTAGTATATATTCATGTTTAATGAATTTCCTGTTGACTTTAAAAGGAATTTCCACTATTGGCTATTTTAAAATAATTACCTATTTCAGGCTTTTCCTAGCATGTGGTTAAATCACTTCCTTTGCAGAAACAATACTCAACCTTTTTTGAAGTTAAGATCTGAATGTGAAAATTCAAGCATTGTGTTGATTTTAATAGGTCAATTTATTTTTCTGTCTTCAACACACCAATCTTTAAATCCATAATTTCTGATTCTGTTTTTAACTATGTAAACCCATTTCAAAAGATTTGAAAATGGCAAATCCAATAGACAGATGAAGTGTTTTCTTTGTAAATTAATATAAACCACATTCTGGATATTGATGTTATATTTGATACTAATACTGAGTCTAGCTAATACAATAGACCTTATTTTTCCATAAACTGGAAACCAAGTAGAAACTACTAAAAGATAACATTGTGATGAAAAGATTTGTGTCACCAAGTTTAGTGTGCTAACATGCCAAAAATGTTTTTCACACATAAGAATTTATTGTATTACTGGCACTATCTGACTATCGCTTGTATAGACTTTTAATATTTTTATCAAAATAAACTTTTTAAAAACTTAAATATATGTAAAAGGGAAATATAGTGTTCCATATATATATATATATGTTTTTTTCAATACACATTAAATAGTAAAGTAAAAAGGGCCACAGAGTTAAAAGATTACTCAGGTAGCTGGGTGCAGTGGCTCACATCTATAATCCCAGCACTTTGAGAGGCAGAGGTGGGTGGATCACTTAAGGTCAGGAGTTCGAGACCAGTCTGACCAACATGGTGAAATCCTGTCTCTACTAAAAATACAAAATTAGCTTGGCATGGCAGAACATGCCTGTAATCCCAGCTACTTGGGAGGCTGAGACACAAGAATCGTTTGAACCCAGGAGGCGGAGGTTGCAGTAAGCCAAGATTGTGCCATTGTATTCCAGCCTGGGCCACAAGAGCGAAACCCCGTATAAAAAAAAAAAAAAAAAAAGAAAAGAAGATTACTCAGGAATCACGGAATCACTTAAAATCATCCAAAGTATTACCACTGAGTTTATGGGAAAAAATTTGTGCATTACAAAACTTGCCTTTTAATTTGTAGGGGTTTCAGGTTTTAAGTAGGAATCTTCAAGAACATGATCAAAAATTCTTCTCCTTCATTATTTTGAAATTGTATGCACAATGTTCTCTATATAGTATATTAATTATTATAGAGTATAATTAAGTATACTGCTTTTATATTTTAGTACTTTTTTGGGGGAGGTAGAGGAGGAGGATAGCAATGGCTATTAGGCGAGGTTGTAAATGAAGTAGCAATTTGACCTCCTTATTTTTTCCTAGTCTCATGGCATAAATTTTGTAATACCTTAGAGAAAGGAGAGAGTTGAAGCTGATTTCAGCTTAATTCCAGATCTCCTCTGAATGGCATTAAAAGCAGTTTATAACATGTGGCCGAATATAATAATATTCATGGTGGTTTATTATCATCCAAATTTGTAGCAACTTTTTTACCAGGTATTTCTGT